TCATACGCTTCGTCCCTCACGGAAATGTGGAAAAAGAGAAGTGGTATGAATGTATACCCGAGACTTGGAGGCTCATTTGATCGTACATGTGTCACGGCCCCTGGCCGAAGGGTACATGTATGTACAAAGTAGCAAGTAGGCAGGTACAGGAACTCACCAGTCTCTCTTTTAGGCATCTGCCTGGGGCGCTGGGCGTGGCGGCGCCTCTGCGTCCAAGTTCGCGTTGCTGATAAGCTCATTGAACAACCATGTTGAACCAAAAAAAAAAATTGAGAGGAGACGCGACGCAGTCGAGTACACGAGATAGTATGCACACCTTGTGTCGCAACTGTGGCGCAAGCTGATGGGGGAGATCCAAGCTTTGGTCATCACTCAGCCAAGCTATCGCCAGACCCTTTGTTTGATTGGACCCGTTCAGGCTACTAGTAACTAGCAAGCCTCGCCTGATGAGGCCATGTCGCCCATTTTAATCCGTACTGGACATCGCACTCGAGGCGTGGCTGTTCAAGGCATGATCACCTGCAGCCGGTTGCTGCGGGATAGGCTGCGTGCTGGAGCTGGCAGATAGCTAAATAAATCGGACCTGTCAGAAACTCACGACCGAGGCCTGGACGTGACACACGTTCATGACGTGCCGTGCATCCGAAGCAGATGACTCGCTTGCCAAGCTCTCTTTGCCATCCTGTCTGTTGAGACGGCCTGCCACAACACTCAACGACGACGACAGCGGCGGCGGCGGCGACGGCGACGGCGATTGCCACTTCAAGGTCAACAGGCTTGCCTTTGGTTGTAGTTGTACAAAGCCTTACTTGATGCCTCATCGGCCGCTGACCTGCCTCGGTCATCCTACATAGTTATTAGCGTCACTGACTAAAGCGCGAGCCCGTAAACCCAGGCTCGCTCTCAAAATTTTTGCCGTTATCACTAGGGCAGAGACGCCAAGGTCAAGGGCATGAGCTATGCAGAGCCTACACACACACACACACACACACACACATATATATATATATATATATGCTAAAGCTGTGCACGGCGCATCGTATTCTGACGAGTGCTGCATGGAGACTGGTAGAGGTAAAGTAGAATGCGGATGCGGGCATGTGGGTGTTGAAGATTCAAGTGGGACAATAGCGACCGAAAAAGGGGGGGAGGGGTGTCCTGCTCGTCTCTCTAACGAAACTGGAAATTAGCAGTAAACAGCAGAGAGCACCATATGTTGGGCGAGCAACTGCCGCGCAGCATGTGCGAATCGATTCCGCGTATCGAATAGAATGGGAAGAGTAACTTTCAATCTTTCAATTTCCCGTTTCTCGGGTTGTCCTCGTGCCGGTCGACGTCAAGGGAAAGGCAGGGGTGTCCATATTCTTCGTCCCAAAAACTGACTTGTCGTTTCGCAGGAGCAGCCAGCCAGCCAGCCAGCCAGCCAGCCACAAAGGGGACGCGGAGGCATGCCGTCTGTGGAAACGAGCTGGGGCCAGCTGTAAGTGCATAGTCGTCATTCGTAGTGACGCAGCACCGGTGACAGAGACAAACAAAGCTTCGGCGCCCTGGTACAAGCAGCTTCCTAGATCCTGGAGAGCAAGGGGAATCGGCGTAGGAGTGCGACATCACGGCCTTCACCCTGGGAAACCAGCTAGCCTGACTAGGTGACCAGAAAAAGGGCGAAGCAGTCGGAGCAGGTGAGATAGAGATCGCCGAGTAAGCGTCCAAGAGAGTCCGTATGGGCTACGGGTTCAGCTGGCGCTGTCGATGCGCTTGAGCGGCTCAGGTGTTCCAAAAGTTGAATATCAGTAAGCCCCCACTGGCGACCAAAGAAGTAATAACCACTATTCAATTTCGAGTCTTGGCGGAGTGGCCAAAACTGCCCACCGCAGTTGGAAAATGTCTCCGGGCTATTGTTTTCACCTGTATCCGTCCCGTCCCGCGCACACACTCTCTCCTTCTGTCGATCTGTCCTCGTCCCGTCTGTTTCCCGTCTTCCTCCCGTTCAACTATCTAACGAAGCTTGGCCGTTCTGTCTTTATATGTCTTGGTCTCGGATGCGGCATGCGACGTCAACGGCTGGCTGCCTTCTGTGGAGGAGGCCATTGGCCAAATGTCGAGGTCGAGGTGGCTTGCAGTCCTGCATGGGCTTCGTCGTTGGGCTCTCAAGGACTTGCCAATGCTCAGTTGGCTATTATTACTTTTAGCGCCATCGCTACCGCTTGCTGCGGTGGTGGCGGAGCGTAGACTCCGTATGTTAGTTATCGATTGGTTCATGGCAAGGGAGTGCGATGCTGCACCATCTTCGAAATTGAAATGGCTTGCGGTGGCTGATTTTACTGTTGAACTTTCGTAGTTATGAATTGCGTCCTCGCTCTTCATGTGCTCTGTGGCTTGATGCCTAGTTTCGAGTGCAAGTACACGCTGGGGTAGCGAGTCATTAAACCCCGAATGCGTTGCATTTCGGGAGGACCCCTTGACCTTGGTATCATGGACTGCCAAGTCCCCGACACGCATCGAAGAAGCAACCCTGGCCTTGCACGTTTGGCTGGAGCGCAACTACAGGTGTGTAGGGTGGGCGCGTATGAGGGCTTCGATGGACGATTGTCAGGTCAGAAGGGCTTCTCGAGACTCGTGTGCGACGATGTCGCTGTGTCTTGACGATAGAGGCATGCCTACAAAGGTAGAGTCGGTTGCTTTCCAATTGCATATTCCAACAGTTTCCACGGAACTTCAAATCCCCGTCGCCTTCCGCCTCGGGCTCAACAGCCGCCGCTGCGTACCATGACTATGGCCTGGCGGGCGTCTGTGCGGCACGGATGTCAAACGCTCTCACAATTCGACCCATCCTCGCCGCCTTCTCGAAGCAATTAAGCTCGCGCCGGTGCCGTCAAGGCCGAAACTTGTAACACGGCCCCAGCCGTTGGTACGTTACTGGGAAAGCGGTACTGCTGCTGCCTGCATCTCCACCAAATGGCGCATCTTTTCTTTCCGCGTGAGGAGAATTTGACAAATCCCTATAGAAAAAGGGCCTCTGCGTTGACAACATGTCGAATACCCAGACGAAGTTTCAAAGCAGAGCAGTTAGCTGACTTTGAACCTAGTCTTGTCTTTCGGCCTCCAGGCTACGCGGGCCATGAATGTGACAGGTCACGTAGTGGTGATGACGCCGTGCGTAAAGAGCCCCCAACCCCCAGTTTCGCACAAGGGGCGAAGATCCGCCCAGGTTGATTGAGACAATATTGCTACGGCCATATGAAGTCTTGCCAGGAGGCAGGGGGTGAGAAAAACGTGCAGATTCACCTGCTGCGTGAGACAAACCTCAGTACAGGTACAAGGCCGATTGAGCATGAATTGTTGCTGCAACTTGCTGCGCGCTCGCCCTCTTGTAATTGGGTCAGCCTGATATGCGCTTGGTGTATGACGCACAAAGGCTGAAGCGCCACATTCTTGATGTGTGTGCATGTATGCACCAAGTTACCTCGCCGAGAGCCCTCGACTGGCACCAGCCCAGCTTCGGAGTCTTCAGCGCGGGCGTATGGCATCGCGGCGTAGCTGGTTTCGGATCATGATTGTGGATTCCGTGCATCTCCATGTAGAGGATGAAAATCGCATTCCGCATATTCGACTCGTCAGGTTGCACATGCTGTACATAACATCCTGCATCCGATTTGGCTGCTCAACGCGTTGGCGTCAAAGCGAGGCTAGCACTGATCCTTCTATGCATGTACCAGACTTTCCTGCAGAGCTTGAGAGGGTCAGCCGGCCTCGACAAGCTCACCAGCATCATGAATCGAGTCGCGCGGAACGAAATCAAACCAATTCGTACTGGTGCAGCCAACGTCACATCGCCAACTCATCAGCCCCAGAAACCTGACCTCGTGTACAATGTTAGCCACCCACCTTGCCGTAGGCAATCGAAGAAAAAAAGCAAATAATAAAACGCTTTTTGGATTAGCTTCACATTGGTAACCTCCAGCGTCATGTCGGCATAATCTGGTAGATGTCGCCAAGAACTTCTCCATGGAATCCCCCATGACGTGCTTCCGGGGCCTTTTCCTTTATCGTGGAGAAGCTGCGTAACGTATCTCGTAGATCTTTCCTCAAGGGGCGACTCGGGCGGGCACACGATGCAAAATAACTAGAGGCCTGCTCCGCCGTCTCATCTAGGCGCAGCAATTGAGGGTTAATGGTTTGGAGATGTGAGCGGCGCGACGGGAAGCTCGGTTCTGTCTGGGTTCGGCTCCTAATCTTCCTGCAATTGTGAACTTGGTTTGCCAACGCCAACTTACCTTTAGCCGAAGAAGTGCGTAAGCATTGTGCATCGCTGGTGTGGTGCAGAGTGCTGCTAGATACGTTGGTTGGCCAATTCGCTCTTTATGTAGGCAGCCACTTTCGTAGCGTTTCCAGAGCGCCGGGCCACAGAAGCCTGTTTTTCGTGTACTATGCATGCGATCTTATTTCCTATTTCCTTGACCAATCAAGGCTGACGCCCAAAATGCAGGGTCTGATCGTCGTGCTTCTGAGCATTTGGGGAGCATTTGGGGAGCATTTGGTCGGTCTCCAGATCAACTCGGAGTGCTCAACCTGTGTAGTGTACAACACCCGAGATACCTGAGAATTGAAATCAAGTGATAACATGTGGCTTTCTTACCAGCTGCCCTATCGTCACATCCCCTCCTTTGGCTACGACTTGACTTGGGCGCTCTGCCGTGTAGCTTGATTCATGTAACGGTGACGCCGGCCATCTGCACAAATATAAAATACAGGAGCCGGTATGTTGACGTGGCCGAAATGATCAGTAAGATGCATGTTGTGATATAATTTGCGTGGAAGTCCGTCATCGGCCCGTTGCGAAATGTTTTGGTCCGCCGCGAGTTGTCTGCTGCGATGGCAGTCAATGGACAGCAGTTCATCGTCAATAAATAGCGTATTATATTCAAGATGAATTATGAGTAAAGCTTTTGAGTCGTGAGGATCAAGTTGAGTATTCTGACACGAGCCGAAAATTGTTGTACTTAAGCCCAGAAGCCGGGGAACAAGTACTCGACGTTCTTCTTGCCTTGCTCGCTCCGGCCATCGGGCTTGGTCATGAACTTAATGGCGCCCTCTACAGATCCAACCCAGTGAGCAGCGGTGGCGAGCTCCTTGTGTTCGGGCTTCGACAGCTGATCTAAAACTGCGCCAACAAGGTGCTTGGCGTTCTTGCTATTTGCCTGCATGTACTTGATCACCATTTCGACATTGACATCCTCGGTTGAGCGCCAGCAGTCGTAGTCTGTGGCCATGCAAATGACCTGGTAAGAGATCTCAGCTTCGCGGGCAAGCTTGGCTTCGGGCAATGTCGACATGTTGATGACTGAACCACCCCAGGAGCGGTACATGTGCGATTCGGCGCGGGTTGAGAACTGAGGACCCTCTGTAGAACACCGTAGTCAGTACATGTTGTTGCGATACAAGCACTTGCATCCTGTTGGGAAGAGCAAACAACGGCGGATGGGGCACGTACCCATGCAGATCAGAGTGCCCTTGTCGTGAAGGACGACACCTTCGCCCTGCATGGAGGCAGCACAGGTTTTGATAACATCAGCCAGCTTCTTGTCAAATGGATCCGCGAAGCCGACGTGGCCAACAACTCCACCCTCATAAAAGGTGAAAGGCCGAATGCCCTTGGTGCGGTCAATGACTTGGTCAGGGAGTACAAAGTCCATGGGCTTGATCTCCTCCTGCAGAGATCCGACGGCAGAGAAGGCGACGATACTGCGTACACCAATGCTGCGGAGGGCAGCAATATTGGCACGGTTGGGCACCTCGTGCGGCGCGAACTGATGGTGTAGTCCGTGGCGGGCGAGGAACGCAACGTTGATTTCGCCGTGGGAGAGGATCTGGATGGGCGAGGCAGGCTTGCCCCAGGGTGTGTCGGGGTTGAGAGCGGCGATGGGCGTGTAGCCCTCGAGCTGGCCGAGGCCAGTACCGCCAATGACGGCGATGTGAACCGGCTCTATGGAGGAAGCAGACCAGGTTAGCGGAGCGAGGGGGGAGAGCTGGCGATGGTGGGGTTGAGGTCATCTCGGGACTCACTGTCAAAGGTGGTAGGAAGGCTGCCCATTGTGTGCGGTGTGAGCTTGGTGTCTTTGAGGGCAGAATACCAGTTTTGAAATGGATACTTGATACTTGTCTCGTACACTTCGTACCCGGTGGAAGACGATGCAAATACAGTTTTTGAAGCGCGACTTTCTTCGAGGAAGAAGGAAGCTCCCGAAAAATATTAACCCCACCAAGGCTAGAGGGGCAGGCGTCGGCAGCGGCGGCGGTGCCCAGCACGTCATGTCTACCTCCTTGTACTGGATAGGTACAAGAAAAAGTCTCACTCGTGTTAAAATGATTGGAGACTGGCGATTCTCCGTCTGTTTTTATGGTCTGGGTCATAATTTGCATCCTTCCCTTTCGTCGCGGACGGTTGCCTCCGTTGTAGATCTAGATCTGGCTATAGTTATACATAGATGATTAGCACTTGCTGATTGGTGCCGCCACCCAAGAACTGTCTCAGTGCTATCGGTCGCATCAACAGCAGACAATCGCTGGCTTAATGCGTTGTAAAATTTGTAGTACTGATGCAAAATTAGAAGCTTTCATATTAATCCTTCCTTGATATGATGGTATTTTAGAGCAATGTTTGGCCACTGCTCTCTCCAATGTGGTTGGCTTACCAACCATCAACCACCCACCAGCGACCAGCCATTTCCATCACCAACCGTTTTTTTGCGGGGTCTCAAAAATTTTGGGCGACGCTGCAAACACACCGACCTACTACCTACTACCTAGGAAGCCGCCTCACCCGTGTGTCTGCTACTTGCTACACACTGCCCACCTCGGCGACAACATGGCGAGCGAAAAGGAAAATACCGAGTCGGCTATTGACACTGGCGTGGAGGAAAACGCCGAGACTATCGAGGAGCGTGTCTTCTCAGCGGCTCTGATATGTCTCGAAGGTCACTTTACACAGTCACCGCCCATGGGGCCCAAGACGGCCGCCAGGATCACCAGCATGATTTCAAAGACGTTGGAAAAGACACACACTCTTCGACGAGTGAGGTGAGCGCATTTTCCACCCCTGCCAGTACATGAACGCCGGCTGACGCTTCGCGCAGGGAGACGCTGTCCCGCAATGTTGAGATCTGGATCTGGCTCACAAGGATCCTTGCTGCCGCTCTCCCGACCTTGACAGATCGCTCCGTCGGTCCCCTATCTAGCCTCAATGATCCTGAGAAGGGTGTCAGTCCCCATGAGAGCACAGCCTTGATAGTCATGAACTACGACAGCATCAAGAACGACCTCTCTGTTCTCACCAAACTCATGCATATTTCGAGAAACTTGCTCGTCAACGCAGAACCTCAAGTTCCACAAGATATCTGCGCTGCTGTGCACTTTGACCAGATGGTTTACCAGACCATCGTTCTCTGTGTCAATGTCACCCACAAAGGTTACGATGGAGAGATTCTAGACGAATCAGACCGACTGAGGCTGGCCGAAATCAATGAACTCTGTTAGTACATCAAATGCACATTTCACTTGACATAGTCGACTAACGCGTGGTACTTCGGCTTAGATAAAAAGCTACTTGTCACTTCTCTGCAGCAAGCTCATAATTGGACCGCAAAGCATGATCGCAACAAAATGTCCTTTTGGTTCGATGTTCTCTTTGACGATGACGGTGCCCTTACTGGGCACGATGACTCTCTTTCTGACTGTTCCGGCTTTCGCCCTGAAGTCGCGAAGCAACAAGTGCAGCATTGGCTGGACCGAAACTCTAGAATGTGTGACACAGCACGACAGCTGCTGCGCGATTACGTGGAAAACCACGCCAGCAAACCACCTGGTAATCTGGCCCCAATTCGGCCGCTCGCTTGGAACTGGCTTCCCGAGGGCTCTGTGGATGCACCCCCCAGTGAGGCCAGTGGTGAAAAGATTCAGTCAGTGTGGAAGTTGGATGAGACCAACAGATTTGAGCAGGATCGCGCCTATGGACGAGTATCGAGGGAGATTGATACTTGGTGGCTAAAATCACGAGACCCCAACTACGAAGAATGGATCGTCGGTATGCCTTCTGTCGAATCGGCGCAGGCGAAAACAGAGCACTGCAAGACAAACTTGATCCACAGATACTCCCATTCCTACCGCGATGACAACTCCTTGCCTCCAGATGGAGTGGACGATGATGCGTCAGAGCACGACCATTGCCCAAACTGCCATCAATGTCACCATGACGAGTATGAGTCTGATGAGCACGATGACCATGAGCACGAGCACGAGCACGAGCACGAGCACGAGCACGAGCACGAGCACGAGCATGAGCACGAGCACGAACATAGCCACGAACATGATCATGATCATGAACAACACCACAACTGCTACCATGGGCATGGCCATGATCATCATCACGATCACCTTCATCATGATCATGACCATGAATACGAGTGCGAACATCATCGGCATTGCCACCACCATGATCACAATTACCCTCACGACTATGTAGATGACATGTTGGATGATGACGAGGCAGACGACGATGATTCATATGGGGACGGTCCATTGACCGGTTTGCTCACCGAGGTTCCTAATATCTTGGACCCCAAGCAGATTGAAGCGCTCCACATGATTGTCAAGTCATGCATCTTTGACGGCTCTGGTTCAGGGACTACACGTGCTGGCGAGAGCTTGCAGAGGACTCGTTGCAGACTGTTCCTGGCGCTGGACAGCGGCAAGAGTCTGCTGCGGGAGCTCCTCGTCTTCATTGCCGTCTGGGACAAGGACGAAGAGAGCCTGATTTATCAAGTCACGGCGCAAATTGTGGATTCCATCCATCGAAACGCGCTCATTCCTTACGCGTGGAACTCGCTCCGCATCTCCAAGGACATCATCTCTCCCGCGCAGACGGTCTTGCTGCGCCTCGTGAATGACATGCTCGGTGGGCGCACCGTCGCCGGCTCCGCGGCCAGAGACGGGCCTACCGGGGAGGGCAGAGACGGCCCGCGCGACTTGAAGCTGGTGCACTTCTTCTTCAGCTCGTTCCGCAGCCGGATCGTGCCCGAGTGCGCGGCGCTGATGCACCTGCAGGCGCAGATTCGGGAGGGCAAGTCCGACGCGTCCGAGTTCCCGGTCGACATGTGGGACATGGAGCGTGCCAAGGACGGGCTGGCCCAGTACCTGGAGTTCCTGAGGACGGTCGTCGAGGTGCCCGAGATGCGGGCCAAGCTGATCGAGTGGGAGGCAGTGTACGAGCTCGTGACCGTCCTGAGCGGGCTCGAGGCCGCCGTGGCCAAGAAGCCGCTCTTCCACGCGCCGAAGCGAAACGGCGCGGGCGGCGACGACCCCATGGTGGAGCGACCGTACGCGGCCGCTGCCGAAACTGCCGGCGCCGGCGCCTCGCCGCCCCTGCAGCAGCAACAGGAGGCAGCGCACAAGTTCCCGTGGGCCGGCGTCAAGAGCCAGATCTTCATGATCCTGGCCGACCTCCTGCAGCCGCCGCCGGGCCGGCACAGCCCCGGCAACCCCGCAGTGCAGATGCAGATGGTGCGGTACGACGGCATCGGCCCGCTGCTCAGCAGCACCGCCTACGACGCCCACAACCCCTTCGCCAAGGAGCGCATCACCGTCTGCCTCAAGTGGCTGCTCGACGGCTGCGACGAGGCCAACGACTTCATCCGCCAGCTGAACCGCGCCGGGCCGCCGCCGCCGTCAGCTGGGCCGGCAGGCGCCGGGCAGACGCAGACGCTGCGCATCGATGGCGTCGGCGGCGACGTCAGGGTCCGGGTGCGCTCGGGACGCCCACGGGTGGTGCAGGAGACGGACGACATCGTGGGCGACGGGCAGGAGGCGGTCGTGGAGGACAGCGCGGACGCGCCGAGCAGCGGCGCCAGCATCGAGGATGACTTTATGGCGTAAGACGATGGGCCGACAGGGATTGAACCTGCAAGCGTGGTACTCTTTTTTGGACAAGGCGAGGATGATACCCTTTATCAGATCGAGGAAGGGAAACGGTCAAAACAATTTCGGACAGTATATATTTGTACGTGATGGACCAGAAATTCCGATATGTAGTACAGCATCACATAGCATTTAGACCGGCGCATAGTTCCAGGTATGAGATTGAATTTTAAGAAATATTTTCGAGGCTTTGAATATTCGAAAGAAATCATGGACAATAACCAACGCAAGTATATATAAATCATGTTTCGTTGAGGTGCGTGTGCCCGTGCCTGTAACAAGAACCAAACCCAGTATTGCTTTCCAAACATGGTAATGCTATTAAGAACAAGATGTGAAGCGTGGTATTTTTTTTTTCTGTGTTTCTTGGATAAGTGAAGTTGATCGCTTTATTGTATAACCGTGTAGCCCAAGACAAGTCCCACCGTAGTAGCCCTTGGGCTCATCCCCTCATCCAGCATCCTTTTTTTTTGTTTAGGCGGAGCCGTTAGTAGGCAGCTTGCCCTCGGTCTTTTCGACGTAGGAGATGAGGTCGGCGATGGTGCAGACTTTGATGTTCCACCTGCGAGCGAAGCGGATGTGGCCGTCACCGGTCATCATCTTGGCGCCGGGGAGGATGGCCTGACCGGGTACGTCGGGGGTGTCGTCGACGATCTCGCAGATGGCGGCGACGGGCTGCTTGCCGGCGAGGCGGCAGAACTCGGTGGCGGCCTCGGTGTGGCCGTTACGGGCGCGGACGCCGCCGGGGACGGAGCGCAGGGGGAGGACGTGGCCGGGGCGGCGGAGGTTGGCCGGGGTGGAGGCGGGGTCTGCCAGGGTGCGGCAGGCGAGAGCGCGGTCGTGGGCGCTGATGCCGGTGGTGGTGAGGGGGTGCTCGGCGTCGACGGAGACGGTGTAGGCGGTGCCGCGCGGGTCCTGGGTGTTGGTGACCATGGGAGGTAGGTCGAGGGCGGTGGCGCGGTCGGCGGGCATGGGGACGCAGACGTAGCCGGAGGAGTGGCGAATCATCCAGCCCATCTGCTCGGTAGTGACATCCTCGGCGGCGATGATGAGGTCGCCTTCGTTTTCGCGGCCGGGGTCGTCAAGGACGAGGAGGAACTCGCCGTTGCCTGCGTCGCACGAAGTCAGTACCATGTGGCACGAGGGGCATGACATGTCGCGCAGTAGAGGGGCACGTCACGTACGGAAAGCCTCAATGCATGAGGGGATGCTGTCGAATTGATCGGCGGGGATAGTTGAGGAGGGCATGATGGGCGGCGCGTGTGGTTTAGGATGTAGTTGAGTACTGCGGAAGAGAGGAGAGGTAGAAGAAGGTTGCCGGAGCGCTGGGGCAAAGCAAACAGGCGGCGAAGCTTAAAAGTGGCCAGACCCCGTTTTTGGAGAAGTCGGGACTTGTTCGGTGGTGGTGGTTTTGCGGTTTGGGGCGGACTTTGCGGGTTCGCTGTGCAGCTTTTCGCAATTGGAGATTTTTCGGTTTTCGGCTGTTTTCCCCCACTTTCCTAATGTAAATAGGATAACGAGGCAGAAATCGGGCGTTGCGTGATGTAAAGGGCGAGAGTGGTGAGAAAGGTAGAGAGAGCCAAGGGTATCAATGGTTAGTTGGAGAGTGCAAGAAAGTCAAAGATGGGAATGGGGTCTCCAAAGCTTATAGACGTCCCGGGTCGGAGTAGCGAGGTCCCTGCAGACAAAGGTAGAGACAAGTGCTCGGCTTTGCCAATGACTCGGCCCCTCCGGAGACGGCGGGCGGCGGCGCTATGAGTGGTTGTGGTTCGCCCGAAAGCTGCTTTGGTGAAGTACCTTCGCAAATGGAAGCTAATGGAAGTCTGGCACGTGTCAGCCGCCGTGGTAGCTGGCCGTGAAGATTAGGGAGTTAATGTCGGGTCACGACGAAAGCCAGGTTCCAATGGAATGGTTTTATTAGCAGAGTTTGACGAAAAAGGTTGGCTCTGCAGTCAATTATTTTGCTGATGTAGAGAGTTCGTTGTGAGGCGCCTTCCCAGTTCTGGGCCGCTTACAAAAGGTAAGGAAGGTATTTGCACAGCCAGGTATGTGCCTATGGACATGCAACAGGTCATAAATGCGCTCAATTACAACACCGCTTCAATGACAGAAAAAAATGATAAAGATACCGCAGCAATATCAACTCATTTGTAAATTTAGCAATATCAACTCATTTGTAAATTTTCTCCAATTTTGAGGCAGCGATTGCTAAGAAATACCCGCCCAAGGCTTGGTCATGAATTGTCAGCAAATGACCCTCGTACCGTTAGTACTACCTAAAATGGTACCTCCAACGGCCGGCTCCCAGCTCCGATGCCCAGCCGAGGCGGATCCTCGTTTCCAAAAGTTGCCGCGGCCCGCGCCTTTGCTTGCACCATCATCTCATCACGGCCATCTGCTTGCTTGCTTGACCCGTAGTCTTCAACTATCACTCATCGACTTATCCAGTCTAAAGCTACACTACCCGCTTCCCTTAAAATCATATGATTTTAAAATTATATTGATAAAGAATTATTCGATTCAGAACAGTCGCCCTGGTCATGAAGAACTTGTAAGTTCTCGGTAGGTTTCGGCACAACGTAATCATAAAGTATCATCACCAGATACGGTTTCACAATCCGCTGTAATACTTCCCATTCCTTGCATGTATTAAACATGCAAGGATGCCCGTCGCTGTCATTGTCCTAACCACTTCGAAACTCCCCCATTATTGTGGGGACAGCCAGATGAGAACGCCAAATCCGAAAAGTTGACCCGATCATTCACAATGCTCTACCACTTCAATGCGAACTGTCCATCGTCTACGACTCTACGCATAACCTTCTTTGAACAATTTCTCTTGCAACGTTTCCAATAAAGCATCCAGAAGCGCCATGACGCGCACAGCCCTACGTCAACCGGCTGCGCGCCTCGGCCGAAGTCTGCTCCCAAGCTCCTCCCCATCACAAACTCAACGCGCCTCGACACAACCATCCGCGCCCTCACCACGCCTTCCTGGTGCGGCCGCGCAGCAGCGCCGATGGCACAGCGACTTCTCCTCGGTCAACCCCAACGAGGTCGCGCACTTTACCGCCCTCGCCGCCGACTGGTGGTCGCCGCACGGCTCTTCACGGCTGCTGCACCTCATGAACCCGCTCCGCCACGACTTTATCCGCGTCTGCCTAGCCAGTACCGACGAGCCACCACCCTCGGCGACGACAACAGAGGATAAGAAGCTCCGATATCTCGACATTGGCTGCGGCGGCGGCATCTTTGCCGAGAGCGCCGCCCGCCTGCCCACGACCGCCCACGTCACCGCTATTGACCCTACGCCGTCCGTCCTCGCCGTCGCCCGCGCCCACGCCAAGCGCGACCCGGCCCTGCGCGGCAAGCTCGAGTACCGGCAGACGTCGATCGAGGGCCTCGAAGTGCCCGAGCGTCCCTACGACGTCGTCTCGCTGTTCGAGGTCATTGAGCACGTTGACGACCCGGGCGCGTTCCTCGATCGCGTCCGGCCGTTTGTCCGCCCGGGCGGCTGGCTCGTCATGAGCACCATTGCGCGCACCTGGGTCAGCTGGTTCACGACCAACCTCATCGCCGAGGACATACTGCGCATCGTCCCGCCCGGCACGCACGACTGGAACAAGTACATCAATGAGGACGAGCTGCGCGGCTTCCTGGCTGGCAAGGGCTGGGGCGCCCCCAAGGTCATGGGCGTCGTCTACGTGCCGGGCTTGGGGTGGAAGGAGGTCCGGGGCAGTGAAAAGGTGGGCAACTACTTTTTTGCTGTAAGGCGAGACGAGGAATAAGAGACAGGAGAGCAATAGGAGGCTTTGCGGCTGAACAAATCCCCGTAGAGGGTTCGTCTCCTACTTACTGCATCAACACATATGTACAATACTAGCGTTGCGGGGAAATCATGGCGCATAGACAACATACAAACTTCTATTCTGATATCCGCTTTTATCGTTCGTTATAGGTGATGATTGTAGTTGGGCTTTCGGCTGGACCACTAACTTGGCACTGCCGATCCCCCTCTTCGTGCCCTCCTTCAGGTCCGGGGGATAGCAACACGTCAATGACTGGTACTACGGCTGACGGAAAAGTTAATTTTCTCCGACGGCGTCCACTTCGTGCGCCATCGAAGTTGGGGAAATGCGGCGATTCTGGGCGAATTGAGAGCGCCAGCTCACGAGCCTGAAACTCGGGAGGCTGACTACCAGTAGTGAGATGCCGCTGGCGATCACTTGTGATCTTTGGGAGTTGGGAGTGTTGCAGCTCTGAGCTGAGGCGGCTTGCAGGTGGCACAAAGATGTGGGCTGGCCGAACGGATTTGTCCCCTGCTTGTTTTACTGTTGCTGAGTTGACGAGGCTGAAGGAAGATGCGTGGATAATCCGCGGTGGCCCAGGCTGTATATACACCTGTGTATGTACATGAGGTAGTCAATGCTCATTATGCATAGGACAGCTCCTGCTGGTGGCATTTACATTCGTTCGTGCCGTTCCTGGACAAGTTCCTGGACAAATGTCACCTTGCCCCTGGAGCCGCTAAAATAGGCTCGTCGTCCCCCGCAGTTATGTACAGTAGCTCCTCCAGTTTCGATCGGTCCGCTAGCACCTCTTGCTCCAGGTCAATTAGGTGCCTGCCGACAGGGAACTGACAGGCAAGCCACTCCGCCGAACAAGCCACACACAGGGGGTCTGCAGAGCTTCGTAAGCTCCTTGTCCGCCCAGTGTCCTGCCTCGTTTTTTTTTTCTTTTCATCTTCCTCCCTTCATCGCATCAAGCTTTCGTTTCCCTCTCTTCAATTCGTACACCATTGCTTCTTCATTTTATCCTTTCTTTTGAATCAGCTTCTTCCACTTTTTCAACTTCTGCTGTCGCTTCTGCTTGTCACAAATGACGCTCTCTTGAATCACCGCTCAGCCGTTGCCTGTGCTAGGCAGTACGACCACGCGCGGTACCTTGTTCCTGGCAACCCGTCTTTCGTTAATAGCATCACCACCTGTTTTTTTTTCGAATTAAGCTGAATCTCCTGCTGATCTACGCTCGCTTCGCCCGCTATGGCGGCGCTGCTCTCGACACTGCTGCTGCTTCTTGCAGCAACAGCTAGCGCCCAGTTTGTCAACCAAGAGTATCACAGCCGCAACTTCAACATTACCAAGTCACCCGGCAATAGCAACATCACTGTCGCCTACAAAGAACCTAATGGCACCTGCAAGACAGCCTTCACCTCACAGAAACAGTACACTGGCTGGGTCAGCGTTCCTGGCGACTATGCCACCAATCTCTTCTTCTGGTTCGTCGAGGCCCGTGAAAAGACCGATAAACTCACCATATGGCTCAATGGAGGCCCGGGCTCCAGCTCCATGTATGGATTTTTCACAGGCAATGGCCCCTGCGCTGTCGTCGAAAAGGGCCTCAACACATACGATACCGTTACTAGAGATTGGGGGTGGGACCGCGGTTCCAATATCATCTTCATCGACCAACCCAACCAAGTTGGCTTCTCATATGATGTTCCATCTAACGGCACCATGCTGTTCCCCAATGGCACCGTGATCCTTCCACCATACGCTGATGAAAGCTCAAAAAATCCGTGGTCCATTACCAACGGTACCTTTTCCACCATGAATGTCAATTCCACTGCCAACACCACTGAAAAGGCCGCATTTGCTGTCTGGCACATGCTGCAAGGCTTCCTCGGCGCTTTCCCCCAATACTTACCACCGGCACCTCAGCCCGTGTCCATCAACCTCTTTGCGGAAAGCTACGGCGGTCGCTACGGCCCCATTTTCGCCGACGTCTGGGAGCAACAGAACCAGATTCGACAAGTTACGCCCGCAAAAACAAACTCCACGCGCCAGGTCAATCTCGCTTCCCTCGGGATCGTCAACGGCTGCGTTGATCAGGAGATTCAGCAGGCTCTGTCTCCCAAGTTTGCTACGGCCAATACCTATGGCTTCAAGGCCTACAGCGACGAGGAGGCCAAGTTTTATACCGACAAGTTTTCTGCCGCTGGTGGATGCGCCGAGAGACTGAGGCGATGTGCCAGCCTTTCTGCCGCTTTTGACATCAACGGTACCGGCACTGTGGATGGTGTCAACCAGGCCTGCCAGAGAGCAAATGCTGTCTGTAACGATGTTGACACGCCCTATTACGCTGCCGGAAGAAGCGTGTATGATCTCTCTGCCCCTCTCACGGATCCGTTTCCCTCGTTTCGATTCGTGGACTACCTAAACCAGGGCTCTGTCCTTGCCGCCATCGGCTCACCAGTCAACTATACCATGAATAGCAACGCAGTCTATTTTGCCTTTGACGCCACGGGCGACCTTTCCAGAGGCCAGACTATACCACGTATAGCCAAGTTGCTCAACCAGGGCGTCCGCATAGGCTTGATTTATGGCGACAGAGATTATATTTGTCACTGGTTTGGCGGTGAGGCCGTTTCACTACAGGTCGCCAAGGAAGCTGGCGGCCAGTACCTCACCCAGTTTCCCGCCGCTGGGTACTCACCCATCATCGTCAATAGCTCCTATATTGGTGGTGAGGTCCGTCAATTTGGAAACCTTTCTTTTAGCCGCATCTACCAATCTGGACATTCTGTGGCGTCGTATCAGCCTGAGACGGCATTTCAAATATTCTCTCGCCTCATGGCTGGCACTTCAGTCTCAACCGGTCAATCTATCGACATCAACACATACAGCACGTCTGGCCCAGTGAATTCAACCACGACAGCCAAGCTACCCAAGATGCAAGATACGGTCTGCTACATACGCGCGTTCCAAGACACTTGCGACAAGGATTCCCGGCAACTGGCAGCCAGCGGCAGCGGGGTCGTCATCAACGGCATTCTCTATTCTTCCTCGGCGGACTGGCCGCTCATGACCCAGACGGCGACGTCGACCAAGGCTGCCACTACCAAAACATCGAGCGCAACCTTGACGGGCGCGTACACGGCAACGAGTACACCTAAAAACTCGGCTCAAAGAGCAAGCCCCTCGCCAGCCTTTTGTATTGTGGTGGTGCTCGGGGCAGCACTGTTGCCAGTTTTGGATTGGATATAAAAGGTATAAACTTGCATGTATTTCGATTTGATTTGCGACGGGCGTTTTGATTTTGAATCGTGATGAAGCAAGGCACATGGGGCCTGTACGGACTTTATACATATTTGTACACACTTGAGCCTGGGGCGTTGACCGGAACACAAGACGGTAATCCACATGAGATAGACAGATGTGCGCATGCAGCATTGACGAATAGAAAGATTCTCCTTTGGCCTCTTGAGTTGTTGTTCCATTGGGCCGGCAGTAACGTCGCGTTGGGCATGAACTAGTAGAAGCAGTGGGAGACGGACGTATTATGAGAATGCGTCGCATAGCATACAGTTGCAATGACACGTTGGCTCTGCAAAACGCGGGGTGTCGTATATTAATTGCTGGCATGCAGTAGACTCGGCGGCCTAGGATATGTTTGTAGATCACGGGAGTGATGAGAGGATGAGGAGGGCTGTCAGTGCACGTGATCTGGGGAAAATGATGCAATGAGGTGTCGAGGATGCAGATACTGCTAGAATGGGCAGGAAATAGGAAACATCATCTTCCTTCTTCTACTTGTTATTCTTTTTTTTTAAGTGGCTTGCAGCAACTAAAAATAATTAATAAGTGCATCCTCCGCACAAATCTCGCACCTGCAGTCAGCTCCACCCCTGGCTGACCAGCCATTCGTCCCAACTCATTCCTAATGGAACTCGTCGCAAAAATCTCGCAGTGGCTGGGGTGGGGGGCGGCGCGAGGCTAAACTTTTTAGTAAGCGAGATCTGACAGATCTCTTGCAACGATAATGCCGTGTTACCGCCAAACGATATGCCGTGAGACAAACGCCTGCCAGTCGTGACAAGCAAAGGAAAAAAGCAGGCCTTTCGACAAAATATTTCGAAAGAAAGGGAGAAACAGAAACCATCTTGCATCATAAGACTTCATCTCTTCATGCAGTCTCCCTTCATAACTTTAGGTACCACATATAACTGGTACAGCTCACCTGCACTTGCGATATTTGTGCGGATTTTCAAAGTGGGTTTGTCAGTGACGGCCATATTGCCGCACCACCAAACCCGTGGCACCAAGTTCATTCTTTGTTAATTAATATAAAGGTCTGACATGGCAGCTACGTCTCATGGCCTCTAGCTGTGATTAATCGACTTTCTACCAGCATCCCGTCTCGCCGAACAACGCCGGCACTTGCTCGTTCCACCTGCTTCAGCCCCTCGTGCTGTTTTACACGTTACATTCCAACCCGCGACGCCGGCGCACCCAATCGTCACGCCGTACGATCCCCTTTGCGCCTCGAGGCAGCCGCCGGTGCCTCCCATAGTCCTAGCAAACATCTTTGGACGCCCTCTCTACAGCAAACGTGGAGCACGTCAGACATGACACCACAGTCTCAGACCTCTCTGACGTCCTACCTGCTAGGCAACCTGCACTGTCCATCATGTGTCGCCGCCATTCGCAGCCTACTAGCCGACACCTACGGCGATAAGATAAAATGGGTGTCGCCGAACCTCGTCACCTCCGTCGTGACCGTCGAGCATCTGTCAACCATCCCCGGCATCGTTCAAAACATGGCCAAGACTCTCGAGGACGTTGGCTTCGACGTTTGCGCCGTGGATTCGTCCAGGGACAGCACTGATCAGAGCGTCACCGTTGTCGACCAGGGCGATGGCAATCTCGTCGCCCCGCAGAGGGGGAGCGGCTTTGAATTCTTCTCCTGGCTCTGGAGGCCCATGTCCTCTCCGTCACAGGACGCCGCCCGCGCCGCCCATCTCAAGAACTGCCACTCCTGTCGAAGCGGTCAGGACCACCATGACGACGTCTCTTCTTCGATACAGTCTCCCGTATCACCCAACTACCAGGCATCCGCCACAGCTGCGGCCCTTGATGGCGTCGTCACCGCCGACGGCGCGGCGGCGCCCTCGGGTCCCTGGCGAGCGACCCTCTCCGTCGGCGGCATGACGTGCGCTGTCTGCACCAACACTATCACCAACGAGATGGAGAAGCTGCCATGGGTGTCCAGGGTCGTCGTCAACCTCGTGGCCAACAGCGCCGTCGTCGACTTTACCGAGCCTGACCGTGAGCAGGACATTGTCGAGGGCATCCAGGACCTGGGCTACGAGGCGACACTGGATAATGTACAGGATCTCGGCCGCGACAGCGAAAAGCAGACGGACGCCCGCGAGGTCGAGATCAAGATTGACGGCATATTTTGCCCTCGCTGCCCGGACCGAATCTACGCCACGATGAAGAGCTTTGGCACAAAGCACGTCGATGTGCTTAACAAGCCCACCATCAACCGCCCGCTCCTCAAGGTCCGATACACCCCAGCCTCTCCCACCTTTACCATTCGACACATCCTCAAGGCTATCGAGGCGACAGATCCGTCACTCCACGCCTCCATCTACCACCCCCCAACGCTTGAAGAGAGGTCCAGGGCCATCCGGGCAAAGCACCAGCGTGCTCTGCTCTGGCGTATGATATTGGCTCTCATCATCGCCGTCCCAACCCTCATATTGGGCATTGTCTACATGAGTCTTGTCCCTGACTCGGATCCCACCAAACACTATCTCATGAAGCCATGGGTTTCGGGGCTCAGTCGCATGGAAATCATACTCTTTGCGCTCTCTACCCCTGTTTACTTCTTCGGTGCCGACATCTTTCACACCCGTGCGATGAAGGAGGTCTGGACCATGTGGAAGAGCGGCAGTCGCACGTCTCTGGCTCAGCGCTTTTACAAATTTGGCAGCATGAATCTGCTCATCTCTCTGGGCACGACAATTGCCTACTTTTCATCCATTGCACAAATGATTGCGGCCGCCGTCAACCATGATATGGATGTCCCGGCAGATCGCTTCTACTTTGACTCGGTCGTCTTCCTGACGCTGTTCCTCTTGGCAGGACGAATGATTGAGGCTTACAGCAAGTCGAAAACCGGAAGTGCTGTTGTAGCCTTGGCCAAGCTGCGTCCCAATACTGCACTTCTCGTCGAGGAAAGGGCAGGTTCTGTCGTGACGGCGCAGATCCCTCTGGACCAGCTGGAACATGGCGACGTAATTAGAGTCCCGCATGGTGCCTCGCCCGCTGCAGATGGTACTATTCTCACGGGTGAAAGCAACTTTGACGAGTCTAGTCTCACCGGTGAATCACGACCTATCAAGAAGATCCCGGGTGACGAAGTCTTTGCAGGCACTGTCAACAAAGGATCCGCCATCACAATCCGTGCAACTGGCACGTCTGGCAAGTCCATGCTTGATCAAATTGTCGAAGTAGTGCGCGAGGGTCAGACGAAGCGAGCTCCTGTGGAACAAATCGCCGACCTCATGACTTCGTACTTTGTTCCTGTCGTCACACTGATTGCCGTCATTACTTGGATCGTCTGGCTAGTCTTGGTGCAGACCGGCAAAGTCTCTGGTGAGGAGACGGATACCACTAGCGGGCGTATTGCGTTTGCGTTCCAGTTTGCCATTGCCGTCTTTGTCGTTGCCTGCCCGTGCGGCCTCGGACTCGCCGCCCCCACGGCCATCTTTGTCGGGGGAGGCATCGCCGCTAACCATGGCATCCTCGTCAAGGGCGGCGGCGAGGCATTCGAGAAGGCGAGCAGAATTGACTGCGTTGTGTTTGACAAGACGGGCACGCTTACCGTTGGCGGCGAGCCTCAGATCACCGACTCGGCGATGCTGCCCGAAGGCCCCGTCGACGTCCCGGAGACTACTATCCTCTCTGGCCTGAAAGCCATCGAGGAGAACAGCACTCATCCCATCGCCAAGGCCATTGTTGCGTTTTGCGGCACCGAGCGGTCGTCGGCGGATCTTGAAGCCGTTGAGGAAGTGCCGGGCAAGGGCATGAAAGCGGCCTTCAAATCGTCCGAGCTCAATATTGCTGTCGGCAACGAAGCCCTCATGCGCAGCCTCGATGTGAACATGTCGGATAGAACTCGCTCGACACTCGAGACGTGGAAGAGGGAAGCCAAGTCCGTCGCTCTCGTTGCCATTGAGAAGGACTCTGCGTGGCGCCTCGCGACCATCATGGCCATCTCCGACCCGATCCGCGACGAGACGGTGCCAGTGATCAAGGCGCTGCAGCAGCGCGGCACCCAAGTCTGGATGCTCTCCGGCGACAACCTGACGACGGCGCGGGCCGTGGCGCACCTTGTAGGCATTCCTTCGGACCACGTCCTCGCCGAGGTGCTGCCGTCGGAAAAGGCGGATCGGGTACGATATCTGCAGGCAACAGCCGGTGGCACCGCCGGGAGCGGGCGGGCGATGGTGGCCATGGTCGGCGACGGTGTCAACGACGCACCAGCTCTGACAACGGCCGACGTGGGCGTGGCCATCGGGTCCGGCAGCGACGTGGCCATTTCGAGCGCCGACTTTGTGCTCGCGGGGTCGCGGCTCACGGCCGTGCCGACGCTGCTGGACCTGTCGCGCGTCGTCTTTCGCCGCATCAAGATGAACTTTGGCTGGGCGATCGTCTACAACATGGTCGCGCTGCCGATTGCGGCGGGCTGCCTGTACGCGGTCCGCACCAACAGCGGCGCGCACATCAAGCTCGACCCCGTCTGGGCGAGCCTGGCCATGGCGCTCAGCAGCTTGTCGGTGGTGCTGAGCAGCTTGAGCCTGCGCAGCGGCATCCCCTTTGTAAGCTTCCGCGCCAAGCGCGTGGGTGCTTGAGAGGGTGATGGATGGTATTGGTTCAATGTGTCGTTGTATTGTTAGTAGCTACTTTTCGGGTTTGGTTTAGTCAACGGGCTTGTCGTGTTTTATTGGCATCACCTAGTTAGCGCAGCATAGCTGTCTCCCCATGAAATTATGATTCTACTCCCAGCTTATCTTGGCCTTGAATATGTTTTTGTGACTTGCTGATTCACTGCGAGGTACGAAAGACTTTACTTGTAACGGGTATTCTAGAAGCGCGGTATTGAACCACGGAGATCATGTAACCGTGTTTGCATTCCGTCTCTCCTGCCCACCACGACCAAATCACACACCGACGACTTGTACATCCAATCACCACAGCAAGCACACATTGCACAAGTACCCAGATCCAAATATAAAGAAACCCCCCAGCTTCATGATCACTATCCACACGCCCGATCGGCACGATGCTGCAGCTGCAAGCCCAACCAAGCCATGGATCCAAAACGGTCTTGTCCAACTACTTGTATGAGAAACAATGCATCACAAGAAAAGACGAAAGTCAAGCTTGCGTGCGCGCAACGTTTCTGCCTGGCCGTTGTGCGGTACATACATACTGTACGTAGGCGTCAGGTGGCCTTTCTTCGCCACGCGCCCACGTGCCCCAACTTGACGTCGCATCGCCGCGCGCGCCGCGCCGCGCCGCTGAGAAACTCTGTGTTGAAAGGCGCCCGCCCGAAATGGGAAGCTGCTGTATTCACGTGCATCCGTCATGAGTCAACCCTTCCTTGCCGCCCACCGCCCTTTCTGTATCTCTTCGTCTGGTGTTTGGGACATATAGCACTTGAGAGAGAGGATGCCACACTTTCTTCATCCCTCCCCAACGAAACTGTGTTTTTTTTTTTTTGCCTCAGTTGATACAGAGCAAGTGTGATCTTCCATTGCTTCTTTCCCCCCTCGCATCACATGAACGGCGAAGGAGTTACACGCGGGGCCGGGGCGACGTGACGGTGTCTGGCGGCACGTCGTGGCGTACAACGTGAAAGGACCTCTTGATCATTTTTTGACATGTGCAAATTCCAGCCGTTTGGACAGAAAAAACAATGTCGAGCTCCAGCAAGAGGCAAGAGAATAGAAGGTAGGGGTTGCAGCTAGTGCTACGGTCGTATTGTTTCCCTTCCAGTGCTGTGGACATTATCACACAATATTGCAAAGACCAAGTTACAATTATCAAGTGCAAAGAAGTATAAAAAAAATGTAGCCGATGGCCATGTATTGAAGAATCTCGTTGGTGAGATTCAAAAACTATGAAAAATCCGCACAAGTCCTCCTCCGAACAAGATATCCTCCCTATTGCTAATAATAAACAACATAGGAAAGTTTGCCTCCAACGGATGCCATCGAGGCCGTCAGTCGTCAATGTGAGAATCCAAGATAATGATGTTAAAAGATCGCCAAACTCCGCTAATGAAAAAAATCCCTTTCCAAAAGATGCTGATGAAATCCAACCATGTGTTGATTTCATATGCTCGTTAAAAAAAAAAGTAGGTAATTGAAACAGAGTTTCTTTTTCGTGACAAAAGATGGTGTAATTATGCACGCATCGTGGATGATATGAGTGGTGCAGGTGCCTGGTGCACAGGCGCATTAGGTGAATCGACCAGGCTCGAGTCTGTGGGGGTAAATAGAGAGAAAAAAAGGTAGAAGCAGAAGCATAAGAACCGGTCTAAAAAAGCTCGCTGCAAAAAAAAGGAGGGGAAAAGAAGAGAAGGATAAAAAAAGAAACGCCATGCTGTTTGTTGCGCCCAATTCTTCCGGTGTGGCTTTTGATCTTGGTCGGAGGGGTCAAAACCCTGCCACGTTTATTTGCTTCATCGCACGGTCACTGCACCACCACCAAGCAAACGGGCCCACACGCCGCGGCGCTGACGCTTCCGATTGCTGACGTCGTAAAGTTGCCGATACTGCTCGTTGGCCGTTTCTTCAAGACGAAGGCTGCTGGGCGTGGGCTTGAGGTTGCGGGTCGAGGCGGTAAACAACTCCTTGTCCATGGACACGTCGACCGGGGAGTCGTAGAGGCTGTCGTCGAGGAACTCATGATACGCAAAGGGGTCCGTCTCAGATTCCAGTGGCGTGGTGGAGCGCGAGTGTTGTCTGCTCGAGGTAGAAGCGACCGACGAGGCATACGAGCTTGCCGAGCTGCTGTAGGTCAGGCCCGGCGGCGAGATGGAGCCGGCACGAGCAGCGGCCAGACGGGAATCGGGGCTCGCGTGTCGGGATGTGGGCGGGCTGGGATAGCGAGCCGAGGCGGCGGCGGCGGCAGCCGCAGCGGCAGCATACATCTCCTTCTGGCGACGCTGCTTCTGGCGCATGCGCTTGATGTGTTCGTGCCTGACTTCGTGGCGGATAGGCTCGAGGAACCCGTCGAATTCGCGGTAGAGGTCCTCCTCGTCCATGTGAAGATCCCATTTGAGAAGGAAGAGGAGCTGCAGCTCCATGAGGTTGACCTCGTTGCAGCTGAAACCGAAGACATACTCCGCGTGGTTGTGGAAGGTGTAGCTGGCCCAGTGCTTATTCTTGGGGGAGGAGTCGTTGAGGTACTTGGCGGCGAGGATGAGAGCAGCTAGGAAGATGCGGTGGGTGGTGCATCGGAGGCCCCGAGCCATAGGCTGAAGCTTGGATTTGAGACGGGTGAGGTAGACGAGGGTGCACATGAGTGTCGGGACCTGGACATTAGACAGGACAACGAGCTTAGTGATGAATTCCTCAACACTGGGCAGGCCGCCGTCGGCAGGCATGACGGGAGCGGAATCGGGGCTCTCGGGCGGGGTGGGAGGGCCGTTTCGGTGAGAACCACCGTCATTTTGCATGGGCATGAGGGCGGAATCGCATGGAATGACGTTGTGCGCGGCGAGGGCGAGGTAGGAAATCATTTCGGGGCTGACTTTGTAGTGGACAAACTGTTCGAGAGCGATCTTGTTGATCTCCTGATCGGTGAGCATTCTCGAGGGAGCCATGGTGTGCGGTGGTTGTGAAGAAGTAGATGGATAAAGGATTGACGAGTCGTAGATAGTAGAGACCGATAGCTGGCAGGCCCGCTGTGTTGAGTGGTGGTAAAGAGAGTGGCGGCGGCGGTGGCCAGACGGTGATCTATTAGATGTATAAGAATAGGTTGACGACGGAATTTGGAGAAAGAGGCGCCAAGGTCTGATATAAGTAGAAGCGGAGGGGAAGAGAAGGGAAGTGGGACAAGGTGAGACTCCGGGGGGGGTTGCGGAATTGAAATCAGAATATCGAGACGCCGAAAGCAGAAAAAGTAAAGGGTAGTGAATGAAAGAAGGGAAAAATTGAAAAAGGGAGGGAGGTTATCTTGTGAAAAAGCAAGACAAGAGGTGTGTCTAGTATGGAGCGTAGCGGGAACCAGGCGCATGTGGCCAGGGACTCGAGACCAGACAATGAAGCAGGGCTTCTTCCGTTTCCGTCTTGGGCAAGTCAAGGGGGGGGTGGGGTGGAGGGGTGCAGGAGGATGCAGTGGTACCTGCGGTATGCAGCAGGGTGGGTGGGCGGAGCAGCAAGCTTTGGGTGGATTGCAAGTACCAACTTACCTGGAGACGGTGGAGGTTGCGACTGGGCTAGCGGCGGTTGTAGCGATTGTAGTGCCTGAATGACACTTTTCCAGGGGGTGGATCGTCTTCCCTTGGTTGGTGCAACGCAACACCAGTACCTGTGAAGGGTGGTGAAGGGAGGGGGGGTGGGCGTCGGAGTGCGACAGTGAGTGCGACAGTGAGTGCGACAGTGAGTGCGAGGCGAGGCGAGGCGAGCCTGGTGTCAGCGGGTGACTTTTGGCAGACTTGCGAAAGGAGGACGCAGAAACTGTCGACGGTTACAGCTCCACGAGGTCGCTGCAAGGGCAATGAGCTGTGTGTCTGGCTTTGATCCTGATCCTGATCCTATTCTGAGATATCGCAACCAATTCTTGCGGGGACGGTAGGTACCGGGCTGGCCGACAGGGATTCGGACGGATGGGGTGTGGCTGGACCTGGTGTGGATAGACGACGACGAGGATAAAGTTAGCTAGGAGGAGGTGTATCGAAGCTGAATCGCCAAAGGGCAGTGCAGGCAGTCGAGTGAGTTGTTCGTCGCAATAATGTCCAAGGACAATGTTCAAGGGTTCAAGCAAAATATTGTCGTGTCCTCTTCAACTTTCAGATCCCGTAATGCAATCTAATTTTGCTCAAGGAAGTTGAGGCCACGCACAGGCAAGAATGAATCGCCGGTGGAGGTGGTCGTTGTGGTGGTGGCGGTGGTAGTGCAAGGGCGAAAAAGCAAGAGGGAGGGCGATCCGAGGGTTCGGTGGCTGCAGACTCCTTTTTGCTTGCGTATCTAGCGAAGCTAGAGTTTGGATAACGGAAAAGAGAAAGAAGGGGATTTCAAGGCAGAAAAATATTCTCGATTGAATCTCCTTTCCAATGCTCCGAGATTCGATGCAAGCAATACCCGGCAGAAGCCAAAGTCGTGCGTGTCCTTCGAGATCGGGTGACAGTAAATCAACCAGATGTGGGGATCGCCTTTTTTGCCGAGCCAGCGGGAAGCGTCGCTCGCAACCTTGGTCAGGGTCAAGGGTTGGCTTGCGTTAGTTGCTTTTCTGCCCTTCAGCTTTTGCTTTTCGTCCGTAGTAGCTGAATGGCTGACAAGAACCGTGATCAGACTAATTCGAATAGCTCAGAGGGAGCTCAGAGGGAGCGCAGAGGGAGATGTAAAAGAGGCCGTGGACGGGTCCGAGCTGCGAACTGTTTGCTTTTGGCGTCCGTAGGTCGAGAGCAGAGTGGTGAATGATCAGATCCCTGCTTCTCCGATGATGAGGATGGAGGTGATGAAGACGAAAGAAGAAAAGAAAATGCTGAGCTCGTGGTATATATAACAGTTGTCAAGATGCAAGTCAAGCAAATGGAAAATCACGTAAACCACGTCCAATAATGCAAAACGGTCGCCGAGGGAGGTTGGTGGGTTGAGGCAAGCCGTCAGCTGGCGCGGAGGAATATGAGTTATTGGCTGATAGACTCAGTTGGCACAGTTGGCGATGGCTGTTTTGGACTTTCAGCGGTTGTCGTAGCGGGGGATCGTCGTCGTTAGCGGCCTTTTGTGGCTTGATGGGCGCTGGAACCTGCGAAAACGTGCTGTAGTGTGCTAGGGACTTGTAGGTCCTGGGTTAGCAGGCCGCCTTAGGTAAGCGTTGGAATTTGATTGCCAATGGCGGAAGAGGTCGGGAGCCATCTGTTGGAATGTCCTCAAATGTTGGGGGCGATAAGACTCACAAAGCTTGCTTTTTCCTCCACCGCGAACAATGGGGCCAGTTCGATGCAAAGGGAAAATCAAATATGCAGGTTGGAAATTGGCCAGCAATTAACAGCCCTGCGCTTCGTTCAAAAAATCGTACCATAGACCGCGAAAAGAATGATCCAGATCGAACTCGTTTGCGCACAGTTTACCAGACCACTTATCCGTTTGTCTGTGCAAAGTCGTCGTTATTTCCCTTTTCCGGTGGAAAAAAAAAAGAATATTGACCAATAGCGAGTCGTCAATAAATTGCAAAAAGAAAATGTTACAAAGCAGGCAAGCAAAATAGAAACCTCTTTCTTGTCCACGAGGGAGACACAAGATGACAGGCAAAGAATAGCGAGGGCGAGTATTAGGCGATTTTGAAATGTGAAGGGAATTTGACCGCACAAAGAGAGACCAGTCTCAACGAAAATGAATAACACAAGGGAAAAAAATCAATGGTCGAAAAGGAAGCGACGTCCAAGGGATGAATGCAGCAAGAAAACGACAAGACGATCGGGTGGCCCTCGCAGATATATTCAACATTAGACACCGCAAATCCTCATGAGCCCCAAAGCTTTCTCCGCTTCCCGGCAAAGTGGTACGAAAATAGAATTCGACCGCCCATCGCCGTTCGCGCCCTGCTTCAGACGACTGCAAGAAGCTGCACGCCAGACTTCACCACAACCAGCCAGTCCCAGCCCGGCGCCTAAATCTCGTACCACCTGCCCGGGCCCCAGGGTCCGACATGTGGATAGATGAATAGGTACCCTCCGCGCCACCACAATCACGACAACGCAGCTCTGCGGGAAGGCACTGTCGCACGTCACAGTAAACGCTTCCTAGCCAGTCAAACACCCGTGGCGCTCTGTCATCCATACTACGACCCTTGTCCCGCCCCTTCGTTGTGGATTTTAAGTTTCTCCCGTCAACGTTGGCGAATACAAGGCGGATTCTCATGGTTCGGTCTATCCGCCCTTGTTACAGGTTTCGCAGTTGTAATTTTCTTGGTTCGAATCAAGGACCCGAGCATCGTTGGGATCGCTCGCTAGCCATGCCCAACGCCGCAGCAACCTCAAACCAGCGGCACGTCGTCCACCAACGGTCTCCGTCGCCGGTCGTGCAAGACGTTACCAAAAAGCTCGGGCCAAGGGGTTGGGTCGTTTCCATACTGCACTCGGAGCCCAAGATACGGAGGCGTTCCGCCATGGAACTGGGAGGGGCGCCCTTCATTCCTGTCACAACTTCCGTCTGCTGGCAACGGCGCAGACAAAGAGTCCCTCAACCACCATCCAAGCCAAGTGGTGCTAGGGAAGCTTTTTTCGCCTTGCGGTTTCCCAAGGCCTTGCCAGTCTCTGGGAACAAAGAATTCCTACCATTTGCTTCCCGCCCCCAACAGCGCCAGCTATCCCAGGGTACAGCATCACCGCGCCGGGTTCGGGGGACCCCTGGTCAGCCCGTTCAGACGGCGGGCTGGGTCAGTGTTAGCCCACTTCTCAACGAGCGGCAGTACCTGCATCTTGACTGGCTCTCGATGCTCCTCTCTCCTTCTTAGCTTCGATCTGAAGCCGGCCTGGCCAGCCTCATGATTGGTCCGCCGCGGGTGTACCCTTGCTGGCAAATGCACGCCAGGCATCATGAAACAAGGCCAGGGACTCCAGCTATTATTGGTAGGCATGTACATACCTGTAAGTTGCAGCAAAAAACCACTTATTAGCTGGCTTCTAACTGTTTTTCACCGAGCTGCCTTCCTGTCCAACCGTCTCATATCAATCGATGCGTCAGCCAGGCCAAAGTCAGAATGCGAAACAAGAGAGCTTATTCATAGTAGACAAGAACAGGCCTATGCTTCAGTACGCGCCGTGACACACCATCCGCGACGGCCGAGGTTCACATTGTTCGTCCACCAAAGGTCGGCTTTTTCGCTACACAACAATATTGCTCCCGAATAATTGGCCTTTGAAGCCGCGCCAAGCCTGACGAGGCTAAACGCTCACCTCAAGGTTATGGACTGTGTAACAGCCAAGCGACTCGTGGATACTCGCGAGACCTTGAGCATCGATTTTTTACTTCCCAGTATTATTCAAATAACCGTTACACCTGCATTACAGCCCAGGTATCGTGCAAGGAGTGATCGAAGCCTCCCCTGGTCGTCGATCCAGGCACCTGAGACGAGCAAATTCAGGCCTTGAGCAAGTATGAGCAAAGCAATCTTCATAGCATTTCTATACGGGCAAAAGCGGCTACCAAGTCATCATTACGCAAAAACACGAAGCCGCCCAATAATTCGAGATTAGCCCTAGACAACCAGCCGAGCTGTCTGAACACCCGTTGCGCTAGCGCCCGTGTTCCTGCGTCAAGTGGCATTCTTACACGTCCACAGGAACTCATCCTGTCGTCCTCTTTGCGCCAACGCGGAGCTTTTTCTCAGTCTGGGCTTGTCTTGGTTGTCTGGCGGACGGGAGACTCGGGGGAGGGGCAAAACTATTGTCTCTACTTGTTCTCCCCGGTGCCCTTTGATAAAGAGCTATGCCGAGCCGTGCGAGATGAAATGGTGAACCCATCGCTAGGTCGACGGACCATGGCTGGCGAATCGCCCCGAGGTTTACGAAGTAAGACGACGTTATTGACCTCGTCCCTATAGCAATGCAGGGGTGTGTGGTTGCGCATGGTCTGATTTGCGGCTAGGTTTTTAAGAAGAAGAGAAATGCTCTTTGGGATCAGCTTGCGACAACGGTCCCTTGCAATTTTACAGAAGAGGCCAGGCACCGAATAGTCTCACGCCGACTGCATTGTCACGTCGACAGCCGCCGCGCATGCAAGGTCCGCTGACACGCTCATGCCTAGCTAGACAAGGCGGTCACCACTCTTGGAGGCATTGAATTCTCTTGATTCAGTTCTAGCTGTCCTCTCATTTCAATGTAAGAAGCACCGCCATTTCCGTCCTAACCCCATCACCTAGACTAACAGCTAATAAAGAACTAGTCCCGACAACCTTGGGGCAGCCAAAGCCTACTACCCAACAAGTGCTCAGTCTCCAGCTTTGGGCTCAGTCTTGCTACGCACCGTTTGCTTCCGCCCGGTGCGCAACTCGGGGCTCTTCTCCTGCATGCTGCATGCAGGCGGCGCCACCGATGGTGGAAAGCAGCCATTCAGAAAGTCTCCTGCTACCCGTTTTGCTTCTGACATGAAACCGACCCCTAACTTCCACCGCAGCCTGACATCTTTTCCGGTCCGTATGGAGGAACTGACGCCTTTGCTCCGAGCAAGGTAAAAATCGGCGTCCAACAAAAGCAGGACTGCTGTCTCGTCCAGCGAATGAGCTTTCTTCATCCGCACTGTTGTCGGCAGAACCTCACCACTGTAGCAGCCTCCATTCGCCACAGACTCCTCAGGGCCAACGAAAATCCTTGGTCGGGCGGTGGAATGCGGCCATGCCCAGGCTCCAGCCACCATCACCGACGCAACTCAACTACAGGCCTACGATCGCATGTCTCTGAGCCAACCCTAGCAAGAGCGAACGCAAAACCCCTGACAAAGAAGCTCTCCGCATTCCAGCGACAAGTGTTTCGTCGCACCACCCCCCATCCTCGCTTATTACTCGAGCGAAGGAGTTGATTAACATTTTTTTCTGTGCCCTGAACCGGTTCTAATAAAGTCGATAGATAAGTTAGCACTTTACGCGGGTCGCCCCATGGTGGCAATACACGGGTTCTGAGACGCAACATTCCTGCTCTTCTTAGAGTGGCAACCTGCATTCAATCTTGAACCTTTTTTTTTTCTTTTTCTGTCGCCTAACGACGGCTAGTTCGTAGTTTCAACCTACCCAAGCTACGTACGTCTTACTGCTCAGCATCCCGCGCCTCCCGGCGCCAACAGCATATTCTATGCTTCTTCATGCAGCGTGCATCCTTTCATTTTGGTGGGTTGATGAGGTGTCCTTGGATCGGCCTGGACCCTCATTCATATATCTCACTGCTAAATCCCATTCAATTCGTCATCTGCGCGTCATACTGGGGAAATATAGCAAAGACAGGTATACAAGAACAGTTGGCGTCTTATGCTTACCCCAAAATGCATGATAGATCGCCGTACCTGTACAGGTTCTGCTGCCACGAAACACGGAGCATTGAGTCGAGGTTTGTTCATAAACAGCCAAACGAATCAGGGCAATGACGCCTTTCGGTCAGCGTGCTTAATCTTGGCAGGGACAAGAGTCCCCTTGCTGGTCTTTGCAGCTTTATTTTCTTCGGGGCCTAATGCAGCATAAAGGCCCTTTTTGCATCAAAAGCATAACTAGTCAGTCATTCAGCAACCCACGCCCTTGGTTGCCGCGCGCTCTCTGCGGAGTTGGCTGCCTCGTATTCCGGCCACCACGACGGGGGCTCCTGGACTGGTCCGGGCTGTCGGTACTCCGTTCCTGTGATGCTAAATTTATTACACCTTTTCCAGGTACTGGGGAGGATGAGCATAACCATGTGAGCCAAAAAAGTGTATGCTGTGCCCCTTGCCCTCGTGTTCGCACGCGATTCGATCAATCAATCCCTCCGGCCCGCAGCAGCTTGCAATTTCTCGCAGCCAATAATTTTGCCAACCTGAATTTTAATTGATTGCGCCGCCGATGCGCAGTCGTGAACATGCGCCTCCGTTCGAGGGAGAAGAAAATGAGGTTAGTCTAATTAGCCGTTTGAGCAAACTGGTGAACTGCAGGTACCCTGTCGAGCGCTCCCTTGCGTCACTACCACACGGGGGATTAAAAACCAATTAAACTTCTCGCCCCGATACAGAAGAACCGACAGCAAGCACCTCGCTTCCTTTCCGGTTTGTCGAGGTAACTATGTACAGTAGCTATTGAGACCAGGACAAAAAAAAAACTCCATTAATAAATCTTCCGGTCTCCTCACCCCCTCATCATCACGCTCCCCTCCCTTGCTTGGATCGTCTTGTCTCAACTGCGCACTGCTGCCGAACATTCATCACCCACACATTCCCGCCATCATTCAACACCCCCCGAGAATCCTACCTTGTGTGTGCGCTTTGCCGGGCGCAGAGATTATTCATCCCATCGTCTTTCGCCACCCCTCGCAAAAATTTGCCCTCGCAGTCGCCATGATTCGCTACTTCATGGAATGTCGGGCTCCAGCCTCTGAGGGTGCATGATGGCGGAGCCCAAGGCTGCATCAGGGTCATCTACTCCTTCCTCTTTAATTATAATTCAAGGGGGGGGAAAAAGGGTAGTGGCATTCTGACATGCCGTGTCCCTGATAAAAGTATCGGTTTGCTATTCAGTCTGCCCGGTCGCATTTTCGTCGGCCTTTGTGCCGCGCTCGCAAGCTGTCAACCCGGTCGTGATACAAGATGGATAGACTTGATGACCAACCGGGACTTCCATGGACCAAAACCAGGCTGTCGTCTGCTCTGCGAACCCCTGCTCTCGCATCTTTGCCCGATAACCAGCGGACGCTACTAAAGATTGGCCGGGTCCCTCGCTCAGCAAGACAGGCCTTTTGCAAATCATTACTCGATGATTTGTATTAGTTCACTTGCAATTCTGGCGGTTATGGTGTCGGTCCCCGTTGTCCGGCTGGCTTGCCCCCCGCTGGTCAGCCGCCGCCATGGGAGTTGCCAGTGTGCCCAAGTCCACAAGTGAGGCTTTTACACGAGCCAGGCAAGGATGATATTGGCTCCTAAGAGCAGCCTTTTCGGCATTTGTAAAAGAAATTATACAACGGAAAGTTGGTTGCTGACACCAGCAGGAGGGTGCCATGCTCAGCCAACATCTCCCTCGTTGTGACAGCAGCCGTGTTTACTTGATTTGTCAAATTAATTCCTTTACATGGTTCTTTTAGACAGCCAGAGCCGGGGCCCGACAGATAGACAGTTCTTGGGGACTGATAGATGGTCCTTGAAGTCGTAGCCGGGGAAGCCTCGTAAAATGTCATCGCCCAGCGGCCGCTCCAGAGGTCGATTACATTGTACTATAGGGTAGGGCATCTGGCGGTGTAATTCTAACTAGGTAATACATCTTGTGTCTTTTATTCGTCTGTCTTATATTTCTTATATTTCTCGTATATATTCAATTCTCTACTCATTTAATCAACATGGCCTTTGAAATAAAAGTTACAGTTCTTTTTTTCATAGTCTTGGTGGTTTCAGCCGCAGCACCCAATTGGAGCCGTGTACGTGTGGTAAGTATTTGGGTTGCGGGGTGACACAATTGTCGGGCAGGAGGGATGGACCTTTATTTGAAAATATCCAACCATTGAGAAGAAAAACTGTATGAGATACCTGAACCCAGAATTGGTCATCTTGGTTGGCCATGGACTCTCATACTATGATAAGAGAAAGGATAAAGACCCAGATGCCCCACGATCATGTTAAACGGATCGACCGATAGGATTTATTAGGCTTCATCGGCTTCATCGTGGACCAACCAAGCCAAGCCGGAAAGGGGCAAGCCTCAGCCAAGCCTCGCCAGCCTCTTCCCCTAAAAGTCCCCGAAAGTCAACGCCAAACGGCCACGCCCGCCTTGTAAAACTGGGCCAAGCATCTTCGTTCATCTACCTATCTGCAGACAAAGTCTCGGATCAATCGCACGTTCATGCAAGATCCATCACATAAAGAGAACAAGGAACAATATACTCCTCGCCATGTTACCAGAAAAGACGGATCCCGGTTCCGCGCGGAGGACCAGGAAATGGGCAACCAAGACCCGTACGGGCTGCATCACTTGCAGGTGAGCCTTCCCCCCCCCCCCTTTTGCGAAC